TGAGTAGGCATTTGCTTTACAGACTTTGGCAAGTGTTGGACTGTTTATAAGAAACCCTCAGTCTTATGGTATTTTAGCTAGACTCTGATGCGGTGTTTCCTCCATGCTTTCAAAATTTGATTTTACTTGATATATTTTTCTCTACACTACTAATATATGACTAAATGAACATCTATCTCTGTACTTTTTACCCATGACCAACATTTCATTTTTATCATAGGGTCACAAGGAAAATCCTTTACAGGTCTTAAAGGTACAAAGCTGTATCATCAAAGCAAAATTCATGCTGGGCTCCTGGCACATTAATCCACCTAATGGTTCTTTGATGGCTTAAAATGTGAAACTTCACATTCTCTAGCATTTGAATCAGTAGATCTAACATGACCTATTTCCTTCCTACACCAAAAAATCTGTTTCCTTTATGGGATTTTAATTTAGGTTACAATTGGTAGACATTCGGTTTCATAACTACTAATGTGCCACCCTTTATTTCTTGAATTGCCAACTACATTTTTTTCTAACAAAGGATCACAGCCCTCTCTCAAGAAAGCACCTAAGGATTATGTTAGAAGGAAAAGGCTCGAAAATGTTTGATTTCTTCTTTCAGTCAAAGAGCATTTTATGGCCAGTAAAAATAGCTTAAAACCAGCTTGAGGTAGAACAGGTGCTGTCTTTGAGTTGCCATCATCTACCTTCATACTCTATAAAAGGATGTAAACAACAAAGTGAAAACAATTTTACAGCCTGAAGGTGCTGCTGCTGGGCATGGGTGAACACTGCTAAAAAGCTCACAATTTCTCATAGTTCACACTATATACTATATGTATAGAGCTAGCAGATACAATTTCTCTTTAAAGTACCTGTCCAATTTAATTGGCTCAGCTTCCTATGGCTTTGCACAAAATGCAAAAATTCAATGGGTTTAATGCACTTCAGACTTGATTTTTTTTGTGGCTTTATTTCCCAGCTATGTCTACCAGATCAAATTGTTTTAGTAGTTATTCCTATTTAACACATGGGTTTCTTTACAATTGTCTCACTGGAGCTCAAGGGAGCATACAGTTTTCTATTTTTGTTGTCATTAATTTTCTACCTGTTAAGGAAAGCTGTGGTTTAGCCAGCACTCTGAAAGTACTGGAATAAAAAAACGTTCTATTATCTCTCTCGGTGACCCCAAGCTGAAGTCTGACATCTGATGTGCCTAGTAATCAATCAGTCACTGTATATTTTCAAACAACTTCAAAAAAACTGTATGTGATCTCTGTTGATGTGTCTGCTATTGCAGAGGTAGCTACGTAACTTTCTAAGCATTTGAAAATAAATGAAAAGAGAGAAAATTTAAAATTAACAAAGCATGTTGAACAATGATTTATAAACACTATAAAGCAGTGACTCTTAATTATTTTTGGGCCATGAAAGGATTCTTCTTGAAAAATCTTATTAAACCCAAGGATCCTCTCCTCAGAAATGCAGCAGTCACATGTGCTTACTCACACGTGTATGTTCACAGTTTACACATGCTTTTAGGGGTTGCTTGGTTCTCCAGAAACCTATACATGAATCTTAGTAATAACTCCCTTTATCTATGTATATAATAATAAAATGATATGCATATTTATAAGATGACAGATTTGCATCATATATATTAATGTAACAGATTTGCATCATATATATTATATAATGTGACAGAGTTATATTATCCAAGTCACTTTATAACATACATATATAAAATATAAAACAAGGGTTAAGTAGGATTCATATATAGGCTTCTGGAGAACTAAGACCATGGAAACATATATTTATTATATAAACTTGCTCTGTTCAAGTGAGAAGGTGGGGATGAGTAGAGCAGTGTTAACTGGGCTTCAGGCTTTCTTATGTTTCCTGAAGTACTTTGTGGTACTCTGGGGCTTAGAGGAACTCAGTTTGAAAAAAATAAATTATATTAACTGTATTAAAGATCTCAGTTATTAATCAGAAGGAGGGTTGGTCAGCTGTGAAAGCTATGGCAAGATTTAGAGATGATGATTTTGTTGGTTCTGTTTCATTCCCACCTTTTGTCCCCTACAACCAGAGGGGGATCACAGAGCAGAAATGAAAACTATACAAAGCAGTAGAGACATCAAAAGAATGCAGAAACAAGCAATGCTACATAATTTCAGAGGAGGAAGAGCTGTATGTGAAAATGACATTTAACTCAGCTCTGAGAGGGTTTTCATCTTATACATCTTTCTTTGCTTCTTGAATACTTTATATATATATATATATAACTTGTTACTTGTAAATCTAACTTTCTTTCCTGATAGCTCTATGCTAGTTATGACAAAGCCATACTGCTATTAACACACACTATGCTTTCATCAAATGGTATTTTAATCTGCTTTACAAAATGAAATGAAAACAATATAATGCCAGTTGCTAGGTTTGTGATTACGTAAACAGGTAAATGCTAAATGAGTGTCTGTTCTTCTGACTATTTTAAATACTCATATACAAAATACAAAATCTTGAGGAAAACATTTAAAAAAATACTCTCTGTTCTATTTTTGCAACTTTCTATAAATCTATAATTATTTCAAAACAAGAGGTTAAAAACAAAATAAAAAAATACTAGCATATATCTGCTATTAACACATTTGAAAAATACAGATGGTATAAAAAAGTCAATACAAGTTTTAAATACAAGCTTACCCATAATCTGAAATATAATTATGAAGTGGGATATTATCTTATGTATCCTTAAAAGGAAAAAATTTTAAATTGCTTTGTATAAATCTTAAAAATTAATGGAAAAATCCTTTAAGAGAAAAATAATTCCCTTTAATAATGGCCTAACATGTATATCTTTAGAAGATAGAAAATTTTTAAATGATTTCAATCTACTTATAAGACCTCAAGTATAAGTTTCTCAAAATTAAAAAACTGAGCAAACAGTAAATCATGTTTATTTAAAATATAGTATTTAATTTCTTTATCTAATGGTTTATTAACCAAAAAATTTAAGTGCAGATCTAGGCTGCAATAAAAACTGAAAACCTGTATGAGAATGAAAATTTGCAGAGTGAATGTGTGTGACTGAAGCTTAGACAGAAAAGAGAAAGATCTGGGAGTAGGGTGGGAAAGGGAGCAGAGTGCCAAGGGAGGGAAGGACGGAGGCAGAGAGACTGAAAGAGGTGAAGCCAGGGAGACACACAGAGAGACAGAAAGGTAGGGAGAAAGAGAGGCACGGAGTAGCAAAAGGATGAGAGGGAGAAGAAAGGAGGGCACACAGAGAAACAGACAAAGGAAGAGGGAATGATGGACAGAGACTAACAGATAGGGACAGGAAGAGACCAAGACACAGTGGGAAAGCAAGATACAGAGAATGGGAGATACTGAAACAGATAGGGAGTGAGAGAGAGTCAGAGGGGCAGAAAAGGAAAGGCTGAAAGAAAGAGAAAGAAAAGAGAAAGGGAGGGAGAAAGAAAAAAGAGAGAGAGAGAGATTAAGATAGATTTAGAAAGGGAGAGACACCCTGAAACACCAGGTAGATGAACAGAAAGGGAGACAGATTGAGACAAAGTGGGAAAGACAAATGTAGAGGGAGAGGGGGAGAAAAATGGGTGGGGATAGGGAGAACGGAAGATGGAGGGAGAGACAAGGTAAATCAAGAGGGAGAGACAAATATTTAGAAAGTCAAACAGAAAAAGAGAGGGAGGGCAGGATAGAAGCACACCGACAAACAGAAACCTAAAGGAAAAAGAAGAAATGAAAATGAGGAAAAGTATGAAAAAGAAAAGCAGAATGTGACAAAGGATGGATAAAAGCAGTTGTAAGTAAGAACTGAGAGTATGTGCTGCTTATTTTAATTTTTTTCATTTATAGTTCTCAATATAAAACTTAAAATCTGAGGCTTAAAAATAATGAAATTCTCTTGGCATTAGGGTGAAGCAATGCATCTGATAAAAGACCCTAATTTTAATAATAGCTATTAATATTTTGATGACCCTAATTACACAGTTGGGAATCAGAAATAGACAAAAGAAAGAGCAATGACATTCAGCGTTGATAAAAGGCCATTTAGTGATTTTCTTCCTATTTCCTCTAAAAAAGAGATGAATTATTTCGTAAGAATAAAATAATTGTTTCATAAACGGAGGGGGAAGGAATTCATATCATAACAATTCCAAATGCTGTTAAAATTTCAGCTAATTCCAGATAAAAAGCAAGCAAAACTCTCAAAAACCTTCTAAACAATTCAATTATACGAAAATGACATGTGCTATTCAGTATCACCTACATGATGAGATTTCAGTTTTGAGGAATCAAAATATCGAGGTAAATGTCAAAGTTTTCAGACTGTATAATTAGGAATCAGATACTCCTCAAAAATTACATAGTTTGATTAGCATTTGCTCTCTTTTGCAATGTGATATCTGATTACGCTAATCATAGCAATGACAGATCTAGGTTTTGCTGTTATAAGCACTTTAAAAATTATTCCACCTCTTCCCCCAAAAGGGTAGCACACCATTACCATGAGTTTTGAAAGTTAAGATTCTTAGCTTCTTAATTTCCAAAAGTCTCATTCATATTGTATTTGTTCCACAATAAAAATTTTAAAATTGAACAAGTCATATAGTATGTCTATTTTAAGATGAACTTCAAAGAGAAGTCATTTTTCCAACTGACAATTTGCTGTGCTATACACAAACACTGATTAGTACACAGGTAAACCATTCTATCACTAAGTTACAAGAAGTATCAAACATGTGAGGGACTGGGAGAAGAAACTAGTGCTACAGCTGAGAAGTAAATGATGCTACTTTTCACTCCATCAACCTAAACAAATATATCTTTGCAAAAATAAAAACAATTTTAAAAGGCTCTCACTTTCAACATGGTAGAATTTTATCACACATCCTCTAACAAAAATTATGGTACTAAGTGAACATGAATACTTCTTCATGTATCAGATTACCTTCTATACAAATTTAGCAAATGAATTAAGAGTCACATACCTTCATTGTATTGGTATTTGCTTCATCATACAGAGTTAAGAAGATGTTCTTTCCATAGTACCTGTAAATTGCTGCTCTGCATTGCTCCTCTACAGAGCTCACTGCACACATCCAGCTGATTAGTCAGGCATTGGGAGTGCCTGCTGGAGCAGTCTAAAGCACTTGCTGAGGACTCAGACAATAGAAAGTCAACAGCTGTATGTTGTGATGTCAGTAACACTCTAGCCAGTCACCACCCAGAATATCTGAAATGCATCAGAAGCTATATTGAGCTCTTCATTAGCAATTCAGAAGCAATGATGCAAAAGCCCATGAAACTGTGAATATGCAAAGACTGTCAGGATTTTTGAGATTTCTCGCTATTAAAATATTGTTGCACAATGATGCCTGATCCCAGGTTGAAGAAAAAAAGTTGAGACAACCATATCTTTCTGTAATTCCTTAAAGAACAAGCCATAAATAATTTAGGTATGGTTAATATGTCATTTTTAAATTACTCTCTTTGACACTTCTAATATCACTAACAAAAAGCCTTAAAAAAGGCAATTTGTCTATAATAACCAACTTCCTGTGACAGTTTTGCATCTTCCAACTGACTTTACCTGTCACAAAGAAAGAAAATGAATTAACAGCACAATTCCTTATTTCTTAATCTGTTTTTGCTAAAATTAAAATAAGCTTGCTTATTTCTGGCAAGAGCATTACTTCTTCATACCAACAGATGGAGATAGCAGTAGAGCTGCAATCTGAGGACAATTCTGCCTCGTGTCAGATGCTTGTTGGCTACATTAGCTCAAGTGGCGGACTTACAAGAAAAGGAATCAACCAAAATCGAATTTAAAAAACCAGGTTTAATAATTATAAGGCAAACAAATAAGATAAAGAAAACAGAATACTAATTGCATCTATTGGGCAACACACTGAACCAGATGAGTATGTTTTCTGGATTCTAGCTATTGTTTTCAGTGATAGCTGGTACAGCATGCGCCTCTGTTTCCCATTTTGTTAAACAAAGATCATACTTTCCAAAAGCATATAGGGATGTTGTAAGGATTCATCAGACAATGCTCATATATTACCTGCACTACGTGAAGAAAGATCTATACACCACTAACCAGAAATCCCACTTTTCCATGTCACTAAAATGTTAAGTCATGTAGAGTTTATATAACCTTACGGATTAATAAACCAGCAGTGCTCTTTATACCAATTTGACAAACACTGAAAGATACCAGCTTTATAGTATAATGTGAAAAAATATTAACACCTTTTCAAAAATGCTCAGCCCTAGAAGCAGACTGTTGAAAATACATGAAAATCCACAAAATCTTCCCAAATCTTCAAACAACAAAGGTGATGAGGCAGCTAACAACACTGAGACTTATCTGAGAGGCTTCCCACTGATTTACGTAAAATTTCTCCAGTGTACAATCTTTTACTGCACCCTGCACTTTCTGGTAAAAATCAAGTGCCAGCCTAGGTACCCAAAAAACAAATATCCAAGCCCCTGACCTTTCCATGACGAGTTACCGCTTTTGCCAAAGGGTATAAATAATTTTTTTCTCAGATAAAATCTTTGTTACTTATGAGAAACATATTTCAAGGCAGCTTTTCTTAAAAACTGTAATAGAAACTCTTGTTATGAAACAGATGGACAAGCTAAAATGCAGAATAATGAAACAACCCACTTACATTGTAGCAAAAACAAATGAATATTTTCTACTACATTTCAAAAGATTCTCTTTCCAAGCTTTGGAAATTGTTAGGCAGGCCTTATAAACTCAAGTAATTGTGAATTAGTAAAAAGTCATAATTAAAAATATCTTAAAATACAGTTTTATTGCTGTCAAGTAGAGGTTCTCCTCTAATTATGAAGGGAAGCAACTTAGCTGTTAATAGTGAGATTTTAGTGACAAAAAACTGTTAATTTAGGAATAATCTACAACTTGTTACTAAGACAGAATCTTATCTTTAATATTCTTTTTGGATGCCACACCAGTAATTGTATGAGTTGGCTTTGTCTCTACCTTACAAATGTTAAAACACAAATAGTGAAACAGGTTTAGGTTTGTAATGATGTTGTGGAACTGTGCTTAAACATGCTACCATGGTCAGGTAATGATAACTTTCAAATAAACCCTCAATAACAGAAATTTGAGTTAATATTCATTTATTTTTTTAGACAGAATCTCGTTCTGTCACCCAGGCTAGAGAGCAGGGGCGCAATCTCAGCTCACTGCAACCTCTGCCTCCCAGGTTCAAGTGATCCTCCTGCTTCAGCCTCCCAAGTAGCTGGGATTACAGGCACCCGCCACCACAACTGGCTAATATTTGTATTTTTACTAGAGATGGTGTTTCACCATGTTGGCCAGGCTGGTCTTGAACTCCTGACCTCCAGTGATCCACCTGCTTTGGCTTCCCAAAGTGTTGGGATTACAGGTGTGAGCCACCACGCCCAGCTGAAATCTGAGTTAATAAAATTTAACTTTTTGCTTACACCTTAAATTTTGTGCTATCCATTTTGGAAAGTCCAGCAACAACTTCTGCAAAAACAGAAGTACACTGACTCCACAGGGTTTACCTGTAGTTATAAGGCAAAAAGATAATTCCCATCTGAATGATAGGAACTCGGGCAACTATGGGACTAATATCAGAAATTTTATTATCTAAATCTAATTACTGACATGGCTGATAAACTTTCTTCTTAATTTTTCTGGTGCCTTAGCTCTTGTGGAACTTTAAGATCTCAACCTTTACAGGTAAAGACAACATTTGAACCTAATTCTCTCACATACTTCCTAATACATTCTAAACAAAAACAGCAAATGATTACTATAGCCAAGGGCCATCTTACGGTAACAATTTTTTAAAGAAATTTTAACACATCTTTTGAAGGAGAAACTCAATTATTTTGCAACCACTAATGTAATCACTGATTCTGGCAAGGATCATAAATATATGACAAAATCTGTTAGATGAGAGATGGTTACTGAACAAGATATTCTTTGGTTACTGATAACTTTTAATTTCAAAGGTATGTTCATTACCAGCAGACTCTACCTTAATCAAGTGATCAAATTTAACATCACCAATAATCAGGCAGGCTAACCTTTTACGCCTCCTGATATAATGCAACAGGGAAAAAAGTCACCTACGCTGTATTTCTCCAAAAATATTTAATCTGAATCTAATCATGAAACAATCAGATAAATTCAAACTGTGAACCTACAAGACAGCTAGCTTTAATGCTGAAAAAAATCAGTATTATGGGAAAAAAACCGGGAAAATTACAGAAGACTACAGAGACCTGTAAACAAAATGTAAAGTGTTATATTTGATTAGATTCGGGAATCTGAGGAGCAACTGAAGTAGTATATACACGGTTGGTATATTAAATGATTACATTTTATAAATGTTAAATTTCTTGGGTGTGATAAAAATACATTAGCCAGAGAAACAGACACACATAGAGAGAGAAAGCAAATGTGCCAAAATGTTAAGAAGTGGTGAAGACAGAAGGCTGTATCTGTGTGTCTATTTTATAACTTTAAACTTTTCTGTGAAACCCTTTCCAGTAGGCCTTTCATTTTCTTTTTGAAGTAAAGATCTATATTTACTGCAGCATTTTTTATTAAGAATTTAAAACATTTAAAAAACTGGTTAGGATTTTTTTTTTTTTACAATGCTATGGGGGCAGAAGGAGACCATTATACAGCAATAAACCTCTATTAGCAAATATACAACATTCTCCTATTAACTATATACAGTACTGTAATTTGAAGTAAAAATACTTCACTTTGAAATATAAAAATAGAATGCAGAGGATGTTATCCTCCTAAAGGAGGGTTCTTTTCCACTACTCCATACCACGCAGTGTGGGTTTCTGGCCCTCCCAGCTTCCCGCGTTCCCTGCACCCTGTACTGAGTAAGTTGATCTCCCCAAGTGGTATTCTGTAGCAGAGTCACTGCCAACAGCTCAGGGACACAAAAAGACCAAGGCATTTCAACTCTGGAAGCTTCCTCATTCCCTTAAGATTCTGCTTTTACTGAACATAAAATTGTAATAACCTAAAAGGAGGTAAGAAATTCACTTCCTATGATTTTTAATTTTCATTAAAATTAAAACCAGTAACTAATTTGTATTTATTTATTTATTTGAGACAGTCTTCCTCTGTTGCCCAGGCTGGAGTGCAATGGCACAATATCGGCTCACTGCAACCTCCGCCTCCCAGGTTCAGGCAATTCTCCTGGCTCAGCCTCCCTAGTAGCTGGGATTACAGGTGTGCGCCACCACGCCCGGCTAATTTTTTGTATTTTTAGTAGAAACAGGGCTTCACCATGTTAGCCAGGCTGGTCTCGAATTCGTGATCTCAGGTGATCCGCCCACCTGGGCCTCCCAAACTGCTGGGATTACAGGTGTGAGCCACCGCGCCTAGCAAGATGGAAGGATTTTTAAAAGGAGGGAATAAATCAAGAGGTACGGGATATACAGTTACAAAGCACTCATCCATTATCTCATTTAGTCCTTAAAATTCTGAGGAAAAAATCAATTCACCAAGATAATTTGATGTCAAGGCTTAGAGTCAACATAATTCTTAAGAATCTAAGTTGAGGATAATGATGCAAAGTAATTAAGAATATAAACTGAGAGATTTTACAATAATTTAGATGTAAGGTACCATGAGTTAAGGTCAGAGTGTTAACTGGGAAAGAACAATGAAGACAGTGGAGAGACACTTCAAAGCAAAATTTAAAGGCTAATAAAAATTCAAAAACTTGAAAACCTGGATAAATTAAAGAATGTTGATGCCACTAGAAGTAGGAAATTTGGCATGGTCAACTGGAATAGGGGCAAAAATACTAACTTCTACTCTTGTTCACCACTGACCAAAAGCAAATAAACAAACATTAAGCAGATAAACAACCCTAAATCATCCTCTTCAACTTAACATGTCATAGAGAGGAGATACTACTTACTACTAAGTGGTGAGGAAAGATTGTGGTATTACTCAGATAGTCAGGTGAAGTCAATCAACAGTCCACAACCAGTGGTGCAATGAGGTATCCAAAGTTCCAGCGTCAAAGACTACACAGATAATTATAGAAGTAAGGCACCAAGACCGTTGAGGGTAAAGTGAAATGTTCCACAGGTGGGAAATGGAATTGAATTATGAGTATAAGGAAGGACTCATGAGAGTTCCCCTACTGTGGATCTACAGGCAAACAGGACAGACAATGCTCTCAAGGATCTTATACCCCACTTTCTACATACAGTATCTCTGGGCTCCACCCTCACTAATACTGTAATATAGGTAACCATTATTAGTTCCTGCTTAGATTTACCCAAGAGACTTCTTACTGGTCTGCAGCCTTTAAAATGGTTCTGCTTCCCTCTAATTTATTCTTTATATCATAGATGGTCTAATGTAAGATATAAACATTATAAAAGAGTAGTAAGTGCCAGGACAGGGGAACTAAAGGATGCCATGGAAGTATCTGAGGGGGACACTGAAAGCCAGTCTTTGAAGGTCAAATAATGTTTTGTGGATAAACTAACATTTAAGCTATCATTTGAAAGAATTAGCCAGGGAAAGAAGACAAAGAATTAGAGGAAGAAAGAATAATACGAACAAGACCCAAAACGCATTAGGAAGAGTGGATTTGAAAGTAGCTCAGCAAGGCAACAGCTTCAAGTTCAAGGAATGAGTGAATTTCAGAGTAGCTCAGCAAGGCAAGAGCTTCAAGTTCAAGGAAAGCTAAGAGTTTATTGTTGTTTTAAAACAATAAAGCTGAAGATGTAAGTAGGAGCAGACAGGCAAGGCCTTGTGAGTGAAGTTTAAGAGCTAGGACTTTTCCTGAGACTCATTAGGGAGATAATGAAGACAATTAGGGGAGTGACATGTACAGATTTTTCACTTAAAGGGTGACAGCTGATGCCAATCAAATGGATGAGTCCTCTAAGGGAGAGTATATTAAGAGAACAAGCAAAGAAATCAATGGTTGACTCCAGGGGAATAAGAAAAATTCTATTTAGAGCAAGCCCCAATAATACTGCAACAAAAATATCAATAATAAATACAAGTATCTCTTGTGACTCTATTCAATCTTAGTTCAAATAGTGAGAGCTCTGATAGCAAAGCTTACTGTGTCATGAAAATTTTTCTGGCTTCTGAGCTCAGATAACAAGAGTTTAGGTAACAACAGATACCTGGTACCTTAAGCCTTTATCACTCATCCATTCATTTATTTAGAGACAGGGTCTCCCTCTTGCCCAAGCTGGAGTGCTGTGGTGTGATCTCAGCTCACTGCAACCTCCACCTCCTGGGCTCAAGCCATCCTCCCATGTCAACCTCCCGAGTAGCTAGGACTAAAGGGTGCATGCCACCATGCCCGACTAATTTTTGTAGAGATGGGTTTTTGCTATATTGCCCAGGCTGGTCTTGAACTCCTGGGCTCAAGTGATCCGCCTGTCTTGGCCTCTCAAAGTGCTGGGATTACAACAGTGCTGCGCGAGCCACTATGCCTGGCCCCTATTTTTAAAGATGTTTTATTGGAAATAATTTTAGAATTGGAGAAAAGTTGCAAAAATAGCACAGACATCCTGTATACACCTCATCCAACTTCCCCTTATAACATGTTACATAATTATAGTACAATTACTGATATCAGAAAATTATAACACTATTAACTAATACTACAGACCTTATTGAGATTCCTTAAGCAAACGTCACCAGTTTCATGATTAGATTAGGCATTTTTGGCAGGGACACCACGGAAGTGAAATTGTGCCCTTTCAGTACATTAGGGAACACATGACATTGGCGTGTCTCAGATTACTAGTGATTTCTACTTTACTTGGTTAAGGGGGTATCTGCCATTTCCCCCCACCCGCTGCCCCATAGTTACCATTTTTCTCTTTGTAATTCACATCTTGTGGGGAGATATTTTGCGACCTTGAAAATATCCTGCTTTTCATCACAAATTCTCCCATTGAGTATCCACTGATAGTTCTTGCATGCAATATTTATTACAGTGTTGTCTGCCTAATGATGGTTTTTATCTCTCTCTTTTCATCTATGCTAACTGGAATTCCATGTAAGAAAGAGCTGTCCTTTCTATCCCTCCCATCTATCTTATCTACCTAAATGCCTGTACATGTGTTTTATTTTGTGGGTTATAATCTAATATTATCATT